CTATATATTGGGGAGGCAGGCCCCAGGTTGAGCTGATGGGGCGGTGAAGGGTCTCCTTACATTTGCCCTGGCTGATGTAGGGTTCAGACTGGGGGCCACAGAATGTATCTTCTGGAAAGTCATCAGATGAGCCTTGTGACATGAGAGGCCCTGGTTGATTTATAACCCTTGGTGTGTGAGAGTTACCTACACTTGACCTCCTAATGTGGGTCAAGCCTAGACTTCTTCAGCGATGTAGGTTATGTATATTGGGAGAGGCTGGTGCCTTCTGTTTGTTGTGGTGCCGTGTCACATGGGAGAGCCTGGCTGATTTATAACCCTGGGTCAACCGTGAGATTACCCCTCGCCAGCCCCTAATGTCGGGTCAAGACTGGCCTGTCTCTGAGATGCAAGCTGCGGTCTGACAACCATCACTACAATGAGGATACACCAACAGAAGGGTACAGCAGCAGCAGGAGGTACAGCAGAAACGCAGGGGTACAGCAGCACGAGGTACAGCAGCAGAAGGAGGGTACATGAACAGCAGGAGGCTACAACAGCAGGCAGGAGTAGCAGGGAGGGTACAGCATCAGCAGGGAGGGTACAGCAGCAGCAGGAGGGTTACAGCAGCAGTGGGAGAGTATAGCAGCAGGAGGTACAGCAGCAGAAGGAGGGTACAGAAGCAGCAGGAGGTACAGCAGAAGGAGGGTACAGAAGCAGCAGAAAGGTACAGCAGCAGGAGGGTACAGCAGCAGGAGGGAACAACAGCCGCAGGAGGGTACAGCAGCAGGGGAGGGTGCAGGCAGGAGGGACAGCAGCAGCAGGAGGCACAGCAGCAGCAGGGGTACAGCAGCAGCAGGAGGGTATAGCAGCAGGAGGGCAGAAGAGGTACATCGGTAGCAAGAGGTACAGCAGCATGAGGATACACCCAGAGGTGGCAATGTAGGAGGAGTTTCAGCAAGCACGAGGGTACAACAGTAGAACAGCAGCAGACACAAAAGAGCAACACGAGGCTACAGCAGCAGCAGGAGGGTACAGCAAGAGGACGAGGTACAACAGCAGCAGGAGGAATGCAGTAGCAGGAGGGTACAGCAGCAGCAGGAGGTGCAGCAGGGATACAACCAGGAGGTACAGCAGGAGGTTACAGCAGGAGGAGGTGCAGCAGCAGGAGGATTAGCAGCAGGAGGAGACAAAGCCACAAGGTACAGTAGGGATCAGCAGAGGGTACAGCAGCAGGAGGCACAGCAGCAGGGAGGTACAGAGGGAGGGACAGCAGCAGCAGGAGGTACAGCAGCAGGAGGGTACAGCAGCAGCAGGGTATGTAGCCAGATAGGGTACAGCAGCAGAAGGAGGGTATAGAAGCAGGAGAGAACAACAGCTGCAGGAGGGTACAGCAGCAGCAGGAGGTGCAGCAGCAGGAGGTAAAAGTAGCAGGAGGGTGCAGCACCAAGAGGTTACAGCAGGAGGAGGGTACAGCAGCAGCGGGGTACAGCAGCAGGAGGGTACAGCAGGAGGAGGGTACAGCAGCAGGGGGTACAGCAGCAGGAGGGAACAACAGCAGCAGAAGGATACAGCTGCAAGTGTCTCAACATATTTTATCAATGTGCTGGATGAAAGCCATGCTGGGAACTGAGGTATATGGCGGCTCTTCATCCCAGCTCCTATCTCATAAAACCCCACCCTCAGTCTTATATCTATCGTAAGTTGTCTCTAGTTGCACGTCCTCCATTCTATTGTGAGAATTTAGAAGCTTCAGAATTCCTCAAAAGAAACATTTTCCTCTATCGAAAAACTCCTTTGTGCAAGTTAGGTTTATTTTCACTTGCTTTTGACTTCAACTTTTCCATTCTACGAAATATGATTTAAGGCTTAACAGTGTTGGGTTTATATCTTGTTCATTGTTTATTGTGTTATATGATTCTTTGTGTATTTACTGTCTTCCCTGAGGTACTAGAGGTGTTGGTTGTGTATTGGAGAAACTTTAAGAGATGGGGGGGGTGGTGGGGCTAGAAGAATGTTGCGGGAATTACAGTAACCAGCAAGCAACTCCACACACACACACACACACACACACGCACACACAGACACACTATGCTGTCACTCGGATCGAGTACGACGATCATCCAGCTATGAGACAATGATCAGTTATTGAGGATGTCACCTTCGTTGGTGAGCTTTAAGGTGACTCGAAGGCCGATACGGAACCGGCTGGGTCGTCCACAGATGCTGAACGTGTGAAGGTTACATCTAGTGTGGAGGGAGCAGCGTCGTTCCGGCGTTGACGCTTGTCTGCCTTTGCATACAGTCGGGCAACCGCTATTGACGCCTTCTTGTGGTGATCCTCCAGCGTTACCGTGTGAGTAATCGTCTCCCAGTTGACGGGTCGGTTATCATTTTCGGGTTTGTCTTCAGATTATCCTTATACCTTTTCAGTTACCCGCAAGCGTTACGTTTACTATTCGTTAGGTGTAGTAAAGTATCTGCTTTGGCAGTCTACTGTCGTCCATGCAGATAACACGGCCAGTCCAACGTAGTTGTTTGTGGATAATGGTTGCCTCGATGCTCCTACAGTTGGTGTCAGCGAAAATACTGGCATTTGTTCTCTTCTCTTCCCAACGAACTCGGAGGATGGTGCGTAGACTACGTTGGTGAAAGTTTTCAAGTGTCTTGAGGTGTCTCCTATATGTGTCCCATGTCTCGCTGCCATATCGCAGGGTAGGGAGGACCATTGTTCGATATACGTGCAACTTTGTAGATAATTTCAGCTCCCTACAGCTGACGACACAGGTACGGAGTCTGCCAATGGCTTGAGATAAACATCTGATCCGATGTTGAATCTCTTCATCGATGTCTGCAGTGGTGGACAGGTGGGAGCCGAGATACTGAAAGTGGGTAACATTAGAAAGGATAGTACCATTGAGCTGGATGGATGGTGGAGGTATGGCTGAACCAGGGGCAGGCTGAAAGAGTATCTGAGTCTTACGTACATTCACCTCAAGACCAAAGTATGCAAACGCATCTGCGTAGGTGTTCAGGATCTCCTGTAGGTCGCGTTCAGTGTTAGCGACAAGGGTGAGGTCGAATGCATACTGAAGTTCAGTAATGGAAGTTGCCGACACCTCTGTTGCGGCCTGGAGTCGTCTTATGTTGAAAAGACCCTTTATTCGGTACTGGATGTCCACCCCGCCGGCGAAATTGGCATTAGTACGTGGAAGGCAGTCAAGAAAATGGAAAAGAGAATTGGTGCCAGTACATATCCTTGTTTTACCCCCGTTTGGATGGGGAAGAACTCAGACTGGGTGCCATTGTGCAGGGCACTGCCGTTCATGCCACTGTGAAGTTGCCTCACAATGGCGATGAAATTTGGTGGGCAGCCAAAATGGCTGAAGGTCCTCCAGAGGGCTTCCCTGCTTGACTGAGTCGAAGGCCTTGGTTTGGTCGATGAAGGCCATGTACAGGTCACGACGCTGTTCTCTGCGCTTTTCCTGTATCTGGCGGACAGCAAATATCATATGAGAAATGCCACGTGATAGTCTAAAGCCACATCGAAACTCTGGGGGGAAGTTTTCCGCCTCAGGAAGAAGTCTGTTAAGGAGGACTCGGGCGATAATCTTGCCAGATACGGACAGCAGCGAGATCCCGTGGTAGTTGCCACACTCTGACCGGTCTCCCTTGTTCTTATAAATATTGACGATAGAGGCTTCTTTACGAGCTTGAGGGATTTCCTCCTTTTCCCATAATTATATTCTTCAGGAGAGTGGAGATGGCTAGTAAGCAGAGGTCCTCTCGAGCCTTAGTTAGTTTTCATCTGTTTGATGGCAGTAGCTACCTCATTCATGAATGGAGGGTAGTTAAGATGGGTCAGCTATGGATGCTGAGGGACCTGCTGAGTAGTTGAGCAGAAAATGGTAGTGCTCTTTCCAGCACTGAAGGATGCCTTCTTTGCCTTTATTTAGGAAGTTACCGTCGGATGAGCAGAGGAGGGTTGCAACATGAGTGATTGGCCCAAAAATGTTTTTTTGGAATTGAAAAATTCGCTTATCTTGTGTTGATCTGCAAGTTTATGTGTTTTATATGCTGTATTTTTAAACCAGTCCTTCTTTAGTTCGCGAAGTTCGCGCTCGGCGCAGCTTTCTTCTTGCAGAAGGTATGAGCTTTGGTTCGAGATTGAGCGTTGGTCTGCCAGTCAGTTAAAGCAGCACGTTTATCATCGACGAGTGCATTGATTTCCGTGTCATTTTCATGAAACCAGATCCTGGTGTATTCTTTCGATCTGGCCGAGGGTCTCTCTGCATACACACACACACACACACACACACACACACACACAAGACAAAAAATTTACATATAAAATCACAATCCAAGGTCTCACTACCCCACTGGTTGGAGGTTTTGTCGAAAATTGATAACTTTTTGTTTTAATGTTATAATTTAATGGAAATTATTTCGTATATGGTAAGCTATATATATATATATATATATATATATATATATATATATATATATATATATATATATATATATATATATATATATATATATATATATATATATATATATATATATATATATATATATATATATATATATATATATATATATATATAATTTTTTTTTTTTTAAGGCGTCGCTTGTTGTCATAATATAGTAGAATTATAACTAAGGTCAATAAGGTATAGTGAAAATATGTTACAGTGATCGACATTTGTAAGAAAAATCCCAAAACGCAATATATTCCATAAATAAATTGAAGAGGGCAGCAGACATATGATATCTCAAAGTTAGTCCAAATTTGAGCATAAAACACCAGGTACAGTTCCCTTCACTAGAGCGTTTACAGGGGCTCGTCAGGTTTTGTGCAGTGTGGCAGAGTTGTGTTTGTTTACATTCGACAAAAGGAAACTCGCAATATTGACATACTATGGAATCAAAGTAAAATAATATTAACCCAAAATTCTCAATGTAATGACCTGTGGAATGTTTATATGACGAGTCCCTGTAAACGCACTAGTGAAGGCGACCGCACATCAAAGACCTGAAGCCTCAAGTATATTCATAATTTTTCTTACTTGAAGTGACGTCAGGTTCTCGTCGTGGGTTGATGTGTTTTAAATGTACTTTGTGGAGGTCGATATTCAGGGTAGGAGGTCATCCACCCACCTTGAGCCTTACAACACAGGGTTAAATATGATACTAGGAAGACATATCAGAAGCTTGAAGGAAGGTGTGAGAAGCGCGGCAGATGTCACACTGATACAAGTCCGCTCGGCCATCCGTATAAGTAAAAGGTCCTCACCTCCTACCTATTGATTCTTAGTGAGGTCCCCTCGCTCACCTGGTTACCTTCACCTGGTTACCTTCACCTGTTTACCTTCACCTGGTTACCTTCACCTGGTTACCTTCACCTGGTTACCTTCACTGGTTACCTTCACCTGGTTACCTTACCTGGTTACCTTCACCTGGTTACCTTCACCTGGTTACCTTCACTGGTTCCTTCACCTGGTTACCTTCACCTGGTTACCTTCAACTGGTTACCTTCACCTGGCTACCTTCACCTGGTCGTTTCCTTTCAGATAGCCAGCATCAACTCCTCCTTGGGGTCCTCGCCCTGGTAAATCCACAGTACTTATAGGTACATTTATACCAACTGATAAAAAAGGCAGGGTGTAGAAGTGACATTATAGTTAAATTATGCATTCCAAGACAAAGATAATCGGCATTACCTCATGTTAGAAGATCATGGTTATAATAATGCTTTTGATTTATTGAATAAAGTCTCTGTCATAAACTGTTTGAGGAACTAAAGAACTGAAGAAACTTTATTATTTATGACTCACACGTGTTGTCTCGACAATCAGGTGAGGCACAGGTGGAGAAAACTAAAATCAAAAGGATTACGTCCGCCAAGTGATGTTTACACTTCGTCACCAAGCTTTCTTAATTTACTGAGGGTCGGTTGCCACCCCTCCCTGTTCCGCCGCTCATCCGCCCTCACCTCCGCCTCCTCACCTCCACCCTCTAACCCTTCAACCCCTTCCCCAGTGTCGCCACATTTACATTCCAAATAATTCTTCATGTTGAACCTACGCTTTATATAATGTTGACTTGAGTGAAAACTGTTCCCCCGTTGTTAGTGTTGCAAGAATTTTTTGTAGTTCCACAAAGTTTTAATTTGAGTGGACGGGTGAGAAATAATTATTTTAAATTTAATGGTGGTAGTTGAAACAGACATTGTTGTTGTTGTTGTTGAGGCGCTTCACCTGCCGTAGTTGTTAACGTAGTTATCTTGGTTTATTGTTAACCACACATGACATTAAAGTGAGATGAAATATCCTCACGCTGACCTCTTTTACCTTATTATTTAATACAGAAAACCTATCTCATGTACAGTACACACACACACAGGCACACAGGCACACACACACACACACACACACACACACACACACACGGGCTGGCGACTAATTCCATACTTACTGGTCAATATGTCATTTGATGAAAATATTTGTCGATTATACAATTGATTTACATTTTTATTTACAGCTGATTCTCCTAACGCGCGTATTGCGTCTCACTCTTTCATTCTTTATATATCGAGGTCACTGTCATGTCAAATTCCATGAATATTTTTCAATATTTTATACAGTATGTAATTCTTTGTAGTTTTTGTTAGACAATATAAAACATGTTAGTGTTACAAGCAGGAATAGAAGAGATAATATATATTAAGTAACCAAAGAGTAGGAGTGAAAATAAGTAGACCAGAGTTAAGTGTTGTGCAGGTTCAGGCATTTACTGTACAGCTCAACAATAAGGTGCTGGAAGAAGTCGAGCAATTACATATTTAATCAACTTGGAGTCAACTAATAAGTATTGTGTACATTAATTATATGAATAAATATCTATAAAACAATGTTCTTTCTGACAGGTGGTGTCGGTGAGCGGGGAGACCTCCCTACGCTACTGTCAAATTGACTGCACCAATTACAAGACATCTCAACTGACAGCCGACCCTTTAGACCAACACAGATTCTATTTGTGTAAGAGTACAACAACGTGGCAAGAGGAGTCATTTGCCTGCGACACCGGTCTTGACTTCGATGTTAATAGTTACGACTGCATGGATCCTCATGACCCAAGCTATCAACCTACACCACTGAGAAATGCGGCTTTGACTGCACGACCGTAGGAACGGCAAACGCACATTCCCAGCAGACTGTAATTTATATATAAACTGTATATACGGCGTTGACGGAGACATGAAAGCATGTGGCGAAAACACCCCATATTTCGATGGTAAGGTTTGTCAGGCAAATGTAAGTAATTGTTGTACATGTCAGCCACATTGCACTGCCGAAGACACAACTTATAATAAGCTTATACCTGATAAATTCACCGCAACAAAGTTCTACCTTTGCTTCACCACTGGAATGATGCACTCAGTCTGTGATGAAGGTAATTTTGATGCGGAGCAACAAAAGTGTTGGGTAAGCGCCCCTGTAATGAAGAGTGTTATGGCACCGGCTGTGTAGAAACACTGATATGTAAACAAATTGGCTTTTCGAAGTGTACAACAAGTTGTAACCCACACTACTTCATATGCGACGCATTCCATAAGCAAGGAGGCAGGGATATTGACCTGCCAGAACGGTGACGTCCTGGACCCACAGACTATGACCTGTATCAACCCGGACGACTGCCCGTTCTAGCTTCAGTATTGATCATGTCTCCCGCCATAACCATGTTTGGTCGATGACACTAATATTAAAACACTGCTCACGCCTTACTGAAATTAATGGACTTCGTCACACAAAATGTTCAGCTACTGTTTATTTTATTTATTAGAGAAGTTAACACAGGCTTGTGTGTCTGCCATGATCATGGTGCATTATTTTGTGTATATGTCTATGTTAAGTAGGTTTACTGGGGACTGTGAGGTGAGATAAAAGGTTATTAATGGTTTAAATATCTTATTATTCATTATACAGTATTCTATTCATGTATGAAGATTTAGTATTATGATGAATAAAGTCAGTATAAACAGTTAATGATTTATATTCTATACTGTAAAAGGTTTATTCTTCCTTTCTAAGGCAAGTAGATGGATAGGTTAGGTTAGGTTAGATGGTATGGGTAGTAGTAGATGGTATGGGTAGTAGTAGATGGTATAGGTAGTAGTAGATGGTATGGATGGGTGGTGGGTAGTGTGGGTAGTACATGGTGTGGGTAGTAGATGGTATGGGGAGTAGATAGAATGGGTAGTAGATGGTATGGGTAGTAGATGGTATGGGTAGTAGATGGTATGGGTACTACATATTTGGGTAGTGGTGGTGTGGGTATTAGATGGTATGGGTAGTAGATGGTATGGGTAGTAGATGGTATGGGTAGTAGATGGTATGGGTAGTAGATGGTATGGGTGCATAATTTGGGTAGTAGGTGGTATGGGTAGTACATGGTATGGGTAAGTAGATGGTATGGGTAGTAGATGGTATGGGTAGTAGATGGTATGGAGTAGTAGATGGTATGGGTGAGTAGATGGTATGTGTAGTAGATGGTATGGGTGAGTAGATGGTATGGGTAGTAGATGGTATGGGTAGTAGATGGTATGGGGTATGATGGGTATGGTAGTAGATGGTATGGGTAGTAGAGTATGGGTGTAGATGGTATGGGTAGTAGATGGGTATGGGTAGTAGATGGTATGGGTAGTAGATGGTATGGGTAGTAGATGGTGTGTTGATTGGGTGGTACATAGTATGGGTAATAGATGGTATGGGTAGTAGATGGTATGGGGTAGATGGTATGGTGAGTAGATGGTGTGTGGGTAGATAATTGGGTGGTGTTGGTGAGTAGATGGTATGGGTGGTAGATGGTATGGGTAGTAGATGGTATGGGTGGTAGTGTATGGTATGGGTGGTAGTGGGTATGGGTGGTAGGATGGTGGGGTGGTATGGTTGGGTAATAGATGGTATGGGTATTAGGTTTGGGTAGTAGATGGTATGGGTAGTAGATGGTATGTATTAGATATATGGGTAGTAGATGGTATGGGTAGTAGATGGTATGGAGTAGTGATGGTATGGGTAGTAGTGGTATGGGTAGTAGATGGTATGGGTAGTAGATAGTATGGGTAGTAGAAGGTATGGGTAGTAGATGGTATGGGTAGTAGATGGTATGGGTAGTAGATGGTATGGGTAGTAAGTGGGTAGTAGAAGGTATGGGTAGTAGATGGTATGGGTAGTAGATGGTATGGGTAGTAGATGGTATGGGTAGTAGTGTATGGGTAGTAGATGGTATGGAGTAGTAGTAGGTATGGGTAGTAGGTAGTATGGGTAGTAGATGGTATGGGTAGTAGTGGTATGGGTAGTAGATGGTATGGAGTAGTAGATGGTATGGGTAGTAGATGAATGGGTAGTAGATGGTATGGGTAGTAGTAGATGGTATGGGTAGTAGATAGTATGGGTGAGTAATAGTATGGGTAATAGATGGTATGGGTAGTAGATATGGGTGGTAATGGTATGGGTAGTAGATGGTATGGGTAGTAGATGGTATGGGTAGTAGATGGTATGGGTAGTAGATGGTATGGGTAGTAGATGGTATGGGTAGTAGATGGTATGGGTGGTAGATGGCATGGGTGGTAGAGGTATGGGTGAGTAGATGGTATGGGTGGTAGATGGGTATGGGTGGATGGTATGGGTGGTAGTAGAGTGGTATAGATGGTATGGGTAGTAGATGGTATGGGTAGTAGATGGTATGGGTAGTAGATGGTATGGGTGAGTAGATGGTATGGGTAGTAGATGGTATGGGTAGTAGATGGTATGGGTAGTAGATGGTATGGGTAGTAGATGGTATGGGTAGTAGAATGATATGGGTAGTAGATGTATGGGTATGAGGTATGGGTAGTAGATGGTATGGGTAGTAGATGGTTGGGTAGTAGATGGTATGGGTAGTAGATAGATGGGTAGTAGATGGTATGGAGTAGTAGATGGTATGGGTAGTAGTAGATGGTATGGGTGTAGATGGTATGGGTAGTAGTAGATGGTCCAAAATGGGGTAGCGCTAGCAAGTCCTTCCTCATCGTGAACCAATATGGACGGAGCTTTGGAGTTTTTGGTCGAGCAAGGGCAAATGGTTTCCAGCTCTTAACAAAACAAGTGAATTTAGTAGATGCCATTGTCAAGGCACGGGTTACTAGTAGATGGTTTGCCCTCCTAATGCGCAGGTGTGGCTCTTCCTATGATGGCGATCACGCCATGGTCTGCAAGAAGGGGCTTCAGTATGCATGAGGCATGACGAGGTAAGGGATCTCACAGCAAATATGTTGAAGGAATTGCCGGGACGTCATGGTAGAAACTGACCCTCCTCCCATTGGATGGCGAGATTCTGCAACACAGGATCTCTCAAACACATCTAACGAAGCCTGTGACGCCGTGTGCTCGAGGATTCTGGACGCGGGACAGCGAAGCGACATCAGGATTTTTGATCTTATGGCTGCTTGTCAACAGAATCCTTAGCTCTTCGATGCTGCATAGGAGGAATGAGAACGACAAAAAGGGCATGCGAGAGAATCAAAACGCTGATCAAGGCAGCCACCTCTAGTGTTCGCTACAACCCTCTGTGGAATGGGCCCAAGTGCAAGATATGTTTTACGCCCAGACTCGCGGAGTTAATCAAATGCAGCCAGCAGCCTGTGCTATGTTACAGCCTGGATGAGATAAGCCGACTTTTCCTTCGGCCAGCTTTACCACCAGGGGAATGAGAGTTTTGCCCTACTCCGACAACTGCTGCAGATATTGACTTTATGAGGTTGGGTTAGGCGTTTCCATTGAATACGACAGATTCATGTGCTCAACTAATTTAACAGATAGGATAGCTTATGACAGATATTTAATATTAAGGTAAATAAAATGGTGGCGAAGGTGTGGCTATTGGGAGGCTGAAGGCCATGCTTAAAAAAAAAAAAAAAAAAAAGTAGATGGTATGGTAGTAGATGGTATATCAGTAGATGGTAGGGTAGCAGTAGATGATATGGGTAGTAGATGGTATGGGTAGGAGTAGTATGGGTAGTAGATGGCATGGGCATTGTAGATGGTATGGGTAGCAGGAGATGGTAAGGAGTAGTAGATGGCATGGGTAGTAGTAGATGGTATGGGTAATAGTAGATGGGTATGGGTAGTAGATGGCAAGGGCTGAACCCACTTGAAAAGCATCGTGTTTCATCCATAGTTGGCTCTGTACAGCATAGATTATTCTCCCACAATGATGGAAGGCCTTTTTCTGTATATTTTCTTCCCCGGAGTTGATAATTCCATCAAGCTTCGCCAGAGCCCATCTAATACACGCCGAGGGACCAGGCCACGATTCTCAGTATTTACTCAATATCCTTACTGCAAGAATGAAAACTATAATGTCGTAGTTGTGGACAAAACAGAGCAAGATCAGTCTCTACTGGATGGTGAATCACGAGGATCAATACTAAAATATTTCAACAACACGCAACACACGCACACAAATTTGAAGGTTCTTTATTTTAAAAATTTTCAACAGCTTTCGAGAAGTTATGTGGAGAATGATAGCAACAGCCACCCGCTATCGTTAAACCACTGGATGAATCTCTTTATGACAAAATTCCGACAGGTCAAGTGACGCTTCCTAACCGGTATTTGGTGAATGTTTACGTTATAATGTTAATATTACGCTTCAGCAGCGGCTCTAAGGCTTAAATAGGGTTAGTAATTGTTTAATTTTCAAGAATTAAATATTATAAGAGATACTATACTGTACCATAAATACTCTTTTGCCTGTTCCTATATTTAGCGGGTAGGATAAAATTTCGTTATAGATATAGAAATTTAGAAAATAAACAAAGTTAGAGAGAAAAGCTATAAATAAGAATGAAAAATGAATGCATGAAAACGTAAAAGGAGGAAAAAGCATTGTTGGTTGCGTCACTTTATCATTCCTGAGAAGATTCAAGTCTTCCCTGTCGTCAGGTTATCCTCTCACACACCGGAGGAAAAATTCTTGTCAACAGTAATAAAACCCTGTCGACACTTCATGCTGCCCTGGAGAGAGTTTCACGGCATCAAGGTAAAAAACTGATATAATGAGGAAAAATTGAGAGGAGTAAACATCATGCTGAGAACTAACCCTGATGGCACAAAATGTATTGTACACTGCTGGTTAGTAACGAGTATATAAATGTTTATATATATATATATATATATATATATATATATATATATATATATATATATATATATATATATATATATATATATATATATATATATATATTGTTATTGCCCCTTAATTTACTTAAATATCCAGGTTCTAGCGTAACCACAACAAAAAAGTGGAAGTAAATTAAAAGAGAATAAAATAAAAGTAAACCTTAAGAATTTAATTGATTGGGAAGATAACAATAAAGAACCTCGTAGGCTGTCACAACAAATTGATTCACCACGAAACTTTTAAGACAAGTGATACTAAACATCGAAACATCAAAAGATTAAAATAAAGCATTGGATTACGTTAACACTGCATAAACATATAAAAACTATCACTGAAATTAACTAACGTGAAACAACACTGAATTACTTGAATACAACTAAGCAAATACTGATGGACACAAACAGAGACATAAATAGGTACTCATATGATATAGCCCACATTGGTGCGATAGGAACAAATAATAAAATAAATTAAGTATAAGTAACAAGTGACACTCAAAGGATGTGTACTGTATGACAAGAGGACCGAACTAACCTCAAGCCAGTTGCGGGTCCTATATATAAGGTCGGTTCTCGCCACCAGACCGCCGGTGGGTCGTTTAACGATGCAGATGGTCGTTAGAGAACAAAGAAGTTGGTTACAATACAAATGAAGAAAATAAGATGGGCTTGAAAACAAATAATGACAGTAAAACCTTTAACAGCACAGGGTAAGGTGACTAGAATATATAATAGTAAATTTAACACATCATTACAGGAATAATATGGAACATGGGAGCATGTTATATATAAAAAAATATAAAAAAACGACACGGTCAATA